CAGTTGATTGGTGGCATTTCGATGCTGATCTGGGTCCTACGCTTTGCATACGAGATGATTTTCCTACCCAAACAGATATCACATACAATTTCTTTACCGACAGCATCAGTAAAGGCTCTTAAAAACCGCGTACTCGATGACCTTGGAGTATATTCATCTGCGGGTGACGTAAAAACACCTTTCATTACGGATGGAGAGATGCTTACAGCATGGGCTACCCGTCTTGCATGTCTACATCTTCACTCGCAGTCACAACAGCCATATTCGTTTCCCGAAAGCTGCCCTGAGCATTTGCCTTTGTCGTTGTCGTGCATTCACCTGAGCTGGTGCTGCTCTAACCTGAGCATAGGGTGAGCTGGCATCCGACTCAGGCATAGATCAGGAACGTTGTTTTTGGCTTACACGGCTAACGTTGCTATTTATTGAAAATAGAAACAATTATATAGGAATGTTTTAAGGCCATGCTTGTTGTATTTATGCGAGCGAGGCTTTGGATTTCGAACGATCTATCAACTTCCTTAGATATATACTAGTTATACGAGTTGTAATCTCTGTCAGTATTTTAGCGCTTAAATAATAGAAGTACATGTATATGAACTGTTTCATCTCTCGAACACCAAAGGAAGCTTCAGGCACTCTGCGTAGAGTTTTTGAAGCTGCCAATTCATGAGCAGCGGTTGCTAAATGGCTAGTCCAAAGGAATTTTTAAGCCAATAACACACATAGCAAAATTCAATTCCATTCCCGCTAAAGCTCGCCTATTGTGGATAGGATAGTGAAATGAGAAGCATAGGCTTGCTAACCGTACCATAACCCTTCTTCTTATAATATTTGACTTAGTAGAGATTATAGGGAAAGATAGGTATAGTAGAGCCATACCGCTATCAAGACAATAGAAGCACTCTAGGTCTAAAAACGCTGGTATTTGCCTATTTGTTTTCTCTGAGTATTTCTCTCTTAGAAAGACACTACAAACTACTCTTTTTAATACTTAGTCATCTTAATCTAACACGAATGGGGCCTCTCCTATTCTTCAACTCAATAGAACACGATAGATCAGATTTCCTTCTTTGATTGTTGAAGATTGCGTGGTTTTTTCCGGGGATGGGGGGATGGGGGGCTGGAGAAGCATAAAGCAATGAAATGGATCATGTATGAAGTTTTGACTAATAGATGATTAATGATCGTACAATGTCTCAGAGTCAGGGTCGTTACCGTTTCTATACAGGCTATAACACCTCATCCATCAGCCAGTCTTCCATAGCGGAATCTGATAGTGTGCTCACTACACTTGCCGAAGAGCTATTCGATAGAGAAAAGATGTCGTCGCTGAGATCCCAGGCTCCGACGTGTTCCAATCCTTGCAAGTAAGAATCACTTGCTGCTTGTGGCAACGGTGGCATTGATGGCGTGCAAGGGGCCAGCCCCAATGAGTGAAGAGTCTTGTAATTGTTGTCAAACCCGAATGGGGCATCAGGTGTGTATGCTTGGGCGGCAGAGTAAGCCCACCAGTCGGGAGCTGGAACATCGAGCAGATTATGGTCGGTGGAATGCTGAGGTGTTGGTGAAATGTACAAGCCGCCATCATTCGTTAATAGGTACGGATGATTTATGCTTGTGTTGGTGTCGTACCCTTGACCATTCAATGATTGTTTGAAATAATTCTGTGAAAGACCCGTAAAATGCTGTTGCTCGGGTATATCCAAAGACGATATAGGATGCACCTCTGTTGGATGTAAGAAATTCCCACAGTTGATATCAGCAGTGTGGGTTTGGTCTAGTTGCATTATATTAGCTTCAGTTGCAACAAGGCCTGGAGTCGGTTCAAGCGGGTCAAACGGTTGAAAAAGCGGAAATTGGTCTGTAACCACTGGTGGAGCTGGAGCTGGATCGGAAATCGGGTCTGAAACTGGAGTATCCATACTCGGGGCTAGAGAATTGTCCTCATGCTGTGAAGGGGCTGCAAAAGGGGCATCAATTTGTCCGTCTAACCGAGTTACTTCTGTGGGATTCTGAACTGCATAATCTCGTCTGATAGACTCCTCGACGCCGTCAAGAGCAATGGAGAAGCGACACTCCGTCTTTGGTGCTTGTGTCTGCTTCATACTGTCTTGCTTAGAGATGGCGACGTTGATATTGCATTCAGGGGAGTCAGACCCTCCATTTATCGTACCGCAGCAGCACGGAAATCGTAAGTGTTCACCGAGATCCCTCTGTTCACTATTCGCTCGGACGTCAAGGAGATGCCTTTCTACGAGCTCGGACAAGATGTCATTCGCTGACTCGCAGATATTGTCCGTGGCGAGCACCAGCATTTTGGCGATTGCCGTGCGACCATCGCATTGCTGTTGAGCACGAAACCTAGCCATAGCCTCGCTGAGAGGATTCATGATGTAGGGCGACGAAGGCCTCGGTGAATCAGGAAATAGTATATCCCAGATGCTAAACCACTGGTCTTTCGGATCGAGTTTCCGGTTGACCCTGCGGCTGAGGGCTTCCTTTTTCTTCGAGATACCCCTAAATTCTTCTTCGAGAGACGATTTCCTGGACGTGCCACGGGCCGTGGCCTGAGTGGTCAAATCTGACTTCTCTACTAAGTTGCGGTTGCATTCCGGGGCTTCTATACTTAAGGGATGGCGCCGCTTGAGATGCTGCTTGACGTCCCGAACTCGTGTCATTTGCAGGCGGCTGCAGCCCTTATGTGCTGTGCTGTCGTATTTGTGGAAGGGGCATGCGAATGACTGCTTCGATAACTCGGCGTACACATCACAGCTTCCGTTATCTCCGCTGCTGTAGTCTTCGCTTTCACTATTGATATTTGTGTCATCTGCCAGCCTGAGGTGATCCAAACTGTCATGTTGAGGAGGTTGACTGCCTGGCACCGATTCACTGAAGGGGTTCTTGACCTCGATGGTCGTTTTCGGAACGCCGGGCCCCCGAATCGAATTGCGAGTTGAGATTTGGTGAACGAGCTCTATATTCTGGCAAAGCATCGCCAAGTCGAGGCTGATATGATTGAATTGTTTCGCGGACGACGATGCCTTATGATTGAGTGTATGGCCTGCGGCTGATGAGTGTTTTGGTTGGAGAGGCACCTGCCTCCGCCTAGCTCTGAAGGGACCTTCCTTCGAGCCTTGCAACTTGTTCAGAATTCTTGTGGACATTATCGCTCTTTATGTCTGTAGAGACACTTAGACTAGATATTTCTATGCTTTTTCTCACTACGAAACCAAACCAAAAAGAATCGTATTAGTTTCTCTGTGGAAAGTTATGGGAAGTCTTGCATCTGATTTCCACAACTGTGGAAAGTTGCACTCGCCGTTGTGGGTGGACCGTGCACTCCATCCGCTTCTCAGCGTTCATCCGTCATTCACCCTGCGACGAATCGGGTCACGCCTGAGCAGAGCAATGGCTTACTGTTGCGCCCAGATTCTATATCGCAGCGGCTTTGACTCCTGACGCTATTGAAACCTCGAGAAGCTTGTTGAGAATATACTGTAGCAACTCAACTCCGTTAATCACAAACGAAGCGGAAGCAGAGGAAGAGTTGCGAGATGGTGATTGACAAGGACGAATGTACCTACAGTATGGTCTCTCAATACCCTGTACCCTATACTCTGCTACCAAGACAGTCCCATATTATCCCAGCGAGCAAACGGACGCAATAACGTTAGCGGCCTGTAATAACAGCAGCCATTACTGTGTTCCCCTTTGTTAACAAGGACTATAGCCAACCCCACCCCAGATCATCTGGCAGAATAACTGGTATTGGTGTTGGAAGCAGTGACGTTCCGTTATCTATCTTGTTTCTCTCACTTGCTACGCTACTTATCTGAGTCTAGGTAGGCTAAATTCATGGTTGGGCATCAAGCCCCGTTGAAGGTTGCCGACCGGACAGAATGCCAGGGAGGCTACAAGTGACCCGATGTGACAGGACCCGCTGACATGTTTCTTACGCTGGCGGTAACGATAACTTACTTAAGCTTAAGTACTGTACATACCAGGTAGGCAGCTTGACCAAGCCACGCTTTTTATCCGCATTAGAAGGCGGAAGTGAGTTCAAGTGCAGAGACTCAATGGAAGCGAAGCAAGTAGCCTCCCTGGGCACAGCCACGTCTAGAAGTGTTGCGGGCTTGGCCTTTGCCTTTGACCCGTTAAGTATTGACTAGCTGTCTCGGGCGGCAAAAAATTGCACCCTTGTCACCCTTACACCAATACCTACACTTACAATGCAAGGCAGAACTGCGGGCATCATCTTCTAGACAAAAGCATCTGTGGCTTTCAGTAACTACCTGATAGCTACCCAACGAGTCGCTCTTTGACTCGCAGGCTTCTCCAGTGAGATATCCATTGCAAGGTTGGCAAAGAAGTCTGGAAGGCTGTGCATGCGACGGGCGAAACTAACTTCCTGACACTGGTGAACCACCTCAACCTCGCAGTTCTAGAAGCCGGCCACGTCCATCGAACAATCCCGACTTTGCGTCAGGGGCGTCTCCATCTCCATCCAGCCTAACCGACCGCAAAGGACTGTACTGCATAGTAAAGGCCTCCTCCTCCAGTGCCGCCTCCAACGTCTTCGAAGAAGGTGCGCGGGGTTATTCGTAATGGCATGGCATGGCTTGCCGCAGTTGTGGAAGGTCGACAAGTGATTTTTGCCTACTCATCGCGTAGCTGTTGAGTTGCGCACAATTGCGCTGACAGTCAACACAATGGTGGAGGTCACGACTCTTCGATATGGGATGGGTCGTCGCCTGAACTGTCGAGCTTCGACGGTTTCCCGCTGCTGTTCTTTCTTTCCTTCTTTTGCCTCTCTTCTTCAACTCTTCTTCTTTGTTCCGACCCTTTCGAAATCCGTGTCCATCCTGTTGTGACGAAGACAATTCTATTGTGCTGCGCAACCACTGCTTTTCACCCCCTGAACCCGCATCATTGTCCTATCAGAGAGAGACCCCTCCACGCCATACCCTAGAGACCCAAGCCCCAGGCGCGCGACATTTAAGATGGCCCCTGCAGCGAGTAATATACCAGGAGCCGTCCAGCTTGCATCATTCTCCAGTGGTAAGTGCGCACATCCCCCGCCATCACATTTCTCTAGCCTCGACCGCGGGGTAGTATACGTACAGCAGCTACTGTTCTGCTGACTGCCTCGAAACTCTTCCACAACATTATTTCTTGGTCTAACAAAGTGCTGATTCCTGCCCTCTTCAGAAGACATCGCTGGGAATGCTGCAGAGCATGCCGCCCAAGCCGACAACCCCAGCCCAGACAAGAAACGGGACAAGAATGCGAAGAAAGGCAAGGCGTCGTCTCGGCGTGCCGAGGGCCGTTATGATCCATACAGGCGCCCGAAATCCGGTGCGGGCAGGGCCAACCAGAGAAAGATCATCCTTGAAGGCGGCGGCAACAACGACAACGAGGACAACCAAGACCAAGACTCCGGTCTTTCTCTCGGGTGTCCTTTTTGGAAGCATGATCCAGTGCGGCACAAGGATTGCCTCAAGTACCGTCTGACGTCGACATCTTATATGCTTCAGCACTTCGACCGCGTACACCCCACTCAGCCATTTCACTGCGCGATTTGCGGCGAGTGCTTCGAATCCCCCGGTGAGCGCGATGCTCACATGCGAGATGTCGCTTGCAAGAGAACCGAGTTCTGTCATCCCGGGCTGACCGCGGACCAATCCCATCAGCTTCGCCTGGCTCGTAACAAGCTGAACGAGGCAGAGCGCTGGTACGCTATGTACGACATCATCTTTCCCAGCTCTACACGACGACCAACGTCCCCGTATGTGGGCACTTATGATGAAGAGCTCCTGGACGTCTTGAGACGTGCTCGTGATTGCCTCCCCGGCTGGGAGCAGTATCCAGAGCGGCAGCGATTCACCTGGCTGCGCTCCGTCACGGCCGGTAAGGATGACCTGTCATTCCTCACCTCGGACGCCCCACCCCCCAGCCCATCAAGCCAGCTTCCTCCCGGCCCGATCACGGGACCAAACCTGGGTATGGCTCCCATGCTCTCTGATCTCGGCTTCGAGATCGGGTTCGAGATCGCCGGCAGCCAGTCTGGCTCGACCTCCCAGCAATTGTCCACCAATGAATTCTCCGGCACGGAAGCCGAGCTCTTCTTCAGCCCACTGGACGACTTCGCCAGCGATACCACAGCCCCGACTTTCTCTCAGCCTGATGAGAGCGGTTTGGACTGGCTCCGTTGGGACGATGAGGCCTGAATAATGTTAGCTGTCCGTCGACCGATGGGCTCTGAGGCCCTTGTGCGTGGGGTCCTTCAGCATGCCGTCCGTCCTTTTCACCATACTGGCGGTTCATTACCTGGTATGCTCCAGAATGCCTTTTATGATGATGACCATGACTTTTTCACGGCGATTATTGTTTGAAGGGAATGTTTTCGCGGTGGCACATATATATTCCGGGCTCTTTCCTGTTTTCTTAGCCCTTTTTCTTTTCATTTGGCATCTGTTGCATAGGATGTCTCACGATCTAAATGACTGTTTTCTTCAACTCAATGGGTGATAGGATACTGCTGCTGTCGATTCTTGGAGGAAAAAAAAGAAGAAAACATACAAAAAAAACTTGAAAATAGAAAAAAACTTTGACCCTCGTGGGTTCAAGCACAATTTTGTTGCCTCCCCTCCGTGACGGTGCAATCAATCATCCGCACCACCAGCCCCGACCTGTCCATCATGCCGGCTAGCACTGACCCATGCAGCGCCGCCAGTGTCGCCTCCTCGCGCGTGTCCTCCCACCTCAGAAGCTCCTGGCCAGCCAAGTCGTCCGCCACCAGCCCAGGGCCGGCTCTCCTCCAGAAACGCCGCAGGGCCGCCGCCTCGCGCTCCGCAGGTGCCGACAGGTAAGCCCGCCGGGGGCACGGCGTCTCGGGGAAGAGAACCTTCCAGATGACGTGCCATTTGTCCTCCTCGCTGAGCCTGACCCTAGAGTCGCTCCGCCCGAGATTCGCCCTCCCATCCTTTGTTTTCGCGTTCTGTCGCCCCCGCGAGGCCCTCGGCATTCGGCGGCCGCACCGCAAGAGCTCCTGTGTCTGGTCCTCCGACACGCCTACGAGCAAGCCCGCTGGCGGATCACGGAGATCGCAAGTCCGGAGCGCGACGTGCTGATTGCGGGCCACTTCGCTGCCGAACTTCTCATAGCACCTCGGACAATGGTTCGGCACGCGGTGGTCGACGATGAGATGCTGTCTGACCATGCGCGTGTTGCCCATCTCCAGGTCCCACCCGCACCTGTGGGACCGCTTTGGGTCGTACCTGTAGTAAGGACACGCCATGAGGTCGAATGGCGCCGTCCCGTGCTTGGCTGAGATGACGACCGTGTCGGGCCTCTCGGGGTCGGACTTGGCCGTGTACGCCTCGGCGGAATCGTCACAGCCAGAGCGACTCGCTCCGTCCGAGCTGGCATGCTCCACACACTGGAGCCGGCGGATGTTCTGCGAGAGTGCTTCGAGAATCTTCTTCGGCACTCGCTGTGCAGGCGTCCTAGAATATGACCCCGTGCTTGCGTCGGAACCAGTTGCTGCCTTCTCTTTTTCCCACGCCTGGAGGCCCAAAGTCACCAAATTTGGCACGCGTGCCTGAAGCGGATGGTCTGTGTCGATGCGAGCCGACTTGTGCGGCTGTGGGCCGAAGAGCAACACATCCTCCTCGTCGCTGGAGCTGTCGTCTTTGGGGCCATCAAGCATAAGGTCTGCGCTTCGCTTCAGGCCCCTCGCACCACGACGATCAGCGTGCTCGGCATGCTGTGGCTTATTTGCTGCCATATTGCCGTCACAGTGTTCAGGCCTCTCTGGCGTCACTCCTTCCGATGGATCGAACACTGCGCCCGAGCCTGCCCTCACATAGTTAGATTTAGGAATACTAGGGCAAGGAAGCAGTAGAAGAAGAGGTCGGCCGCACCATCTGACAGTGTTTCAATCCAGCTTGTCACGCGAGAGTCCAGGCTCTGCGCATCAGTTAGGATGGCCTCTTTGCTGTTGTTATAACGTTGGCCGATAGATAACCGTCTCATCCTCTGTCTCTTGTCAGCCAGGAACAACCGAGATCCTAACTACACTGAATAAACATTACAAGGCCACTGCTTGACATTAACCGAGCAGATAATTGAATTCACATCACATACACTGTGCCAGGTCGAGCTCCCCCGATGGTGTGCAGATGATGAGCCGCAACGTTTCCTCCGACGGATGCCTCTTCACTAGCTGTTGAGTGCTAAGGACGCATCGTCCCACCTCCACATACACAGAACCCAATTGTTGTCTTCTACGTCCTACCAAGTAGAGACACTTAGGTGTTCGAAGTTGATAATCAGAGTGAGGGTATTTGTCGAGAACTAAGCAGGAATCTACGAGCATGTGGAAGAAGAGAAAGTGTTAAAGACGTGAATGCGAATAGCGATGGTGGTTGGTTTTTGGTGAAAGTTCGCCGGGTTCAGCGACTTTTAAATAATGAATGTGGGAGAAGAAGACAGACCACACAGTAGGTATGGCCTATGCATCGTATCGTATCACGATGCCCTCGACGCGCAGGAGGGCGTCGATGGCTCAGCGTTTGAGGCCACAAAGGCTCGGCTCTTGGGATTGTCAGCACACGACAGTGTAGCGAGTGTAGTGTGATGTGGGCAGACGTAATGCAAATGCATTTGCCAGGAGGCAGAGAACGCGAAGTGGCCAGGAAAAAGTGACCTGAGCCCCAACGTGATTGGCTGCAATACAGCACTTAGAGCACACTGTGCCTTTCGGAAAACTTGTCGGGCGGCCTGATTGAGGAGGGAGAGGGGAATCCACAGATGTGGCCCTCCTGCATACGGCTGACCGCGCCCATAAAACCCCATCGGCCGCAAAAGGGTATCTACACCCAAGATGGAATTTCCACCGCATAAGCACCTCAATTGACAGTTGAAGATTTTTGTTTCTTGTCTCGGTGAGTTTATACTGCACTGTGAGTAAGACTCATTCAAGCCTAGCAGATACTCTCACCGACCTCCTCGACCGAGAACTTGCGAGTTGGATGCAATCTTCTAGTTAGCCCGCAGAACTTACATGGTCGCGTTGCCATTCCAACTCTCAATATAAACCAGAACAGTACCTAGGTACTGATCAGTGATAAGAGTCTGACCGGCCTCGATAAACTCGTTACATCTCGTCTGCCCCTCCCTTGCTCCTTGGCTGACAATAGCAGTAATTCATTCACATCCACATCTAGGCGTACGCATCTGGGAGCATTTCCCGCTATCTGCTCTCCTTCATTCGCTTGCTCGAAACTCTTTTCCCCCTGCGCAGGTCCTTAGAACTGAGCAGAGTTAGCAATGCTCAGTCTGCAGAGATGACATCTCCACCATCTCAACCCCACGAGTCTTCAATCAGTACCTGTGAGTGACGCTACCTATCTCGACAAAAAAGAAGAGTGCCATTTATCCCAAGGTTCTGAGGAGAACCATGTAGTAAAACAAAGGTTGTTTGTGCATTCGATTAGATGAGGCTTGAATCACTCCATCCTGTACGCCTAAATGGCAAAGTAGACCCTTATACCGTAAACTCTGTACACTATGAGATATTCTACAAGATAAGATAATCTATTTCTACCACACCAATCAGTCCCAGAATCCATAACAGTTGTGAAGGGGCTCATGTCGCAATGATAGCAAAATAGTGTCTAATCACAATATTGGTGTCTCTTATATACCAACAGAGTCCTCCTCAACATTGTTTCAAAGCCAAAAGACAACCCTGTCAACCACCCACGTAGAAGCGAGCGCTATGACCAACTATGGTCTTCGGACTATGCTCTTCATAAGTGGTTAGGTGTGATAGCCTCAACCAGATCTTCCTTGAAGTCACACAAGATATGCTCCCATCTAACAGGACCATGTACGAGGGACGGAAAAATTGGGCTGACTGTTATAAATATGGAATGGTCTATGATAGTCCTACTACTTGAGCTTTGCACCACACATCAGTTCACATCACACTTGGGGTTACACCAGCCCAGACGTCTCGAATGACTTACACAAGGCGACTAACCGCGGCTAAAGCATGCTTCAGCCAAGAGAGAGGTGCAGTGACACATCGGATTAATTCAACCATTAACTCTAGGCCTTCGTGACACTTGATGAAAGAGACAGAGGGGAGATAACCAAGCTTCTCTTTAAAGAAAAAAATGATTCGATGAAGAGAACAAGAGACATCAGAACCGTCCTTATAATGCAGAAAAGGCCGAGGCGCAGACTGTGCCCTAGAGGAATGTTTCACTAGGACAGAAATGAAAACAAACACTGCTTGTTTCACGCAGCTCCATCACTCCTCGCCCACGCCATCATCAGCGTCAAACTTGCGGCTATATCAACTTCCTCAGCCCCTGCAACGTTGTTTCTCTCATCTACGAGGCCTTCCACCATTTTCCCCTGTAGACGGTGGCCTCGATTTCGCCTCAGACAGAAGCAGCTCCATGATTAATTTTCATCACATGCTCACTTTGTAAACACGTCGCAGCACCTCCGTGTCTCAGTGTCTTAAATCGATAACTATTAGTACAATACTTTGAACTATAAAGGAATTTGAAATTAATAGAAAGAAGATTGAAATATCATCTGGATAAGAGATGAAAAGTTAATGAACGTATAGAAATTTGTTAATACTTGCCATAGAAGGACTGTTCTAATGTAAGCAAGAAAAGGAGAAACTGGAAAATTAAAAAACAATAAAAGCTACAGAATATTTAGAGGTAAGAACTAGGTTTTATAGACTTTTAAAGGCCACGTATAAATTCAACATAGACTTAATAAGACGTCTCCTTTTTCCCACCTAGATAGCTCAAAACTACTCCCTACCACAACCTTCGCAAAGAGTTGACATTTTCAGGTATTTATTACGTAATACCTACATATCTAACCCAGGCTTGGTCGCTCTCCTAAGCTGTCCTAAGCTATCTTGACCAGCACCTGAGTAGTGACTGAAGAGCGACAGAGTAAAGCGGCGATAGGTCAGGTAAGCAACTAAGGTGAGTGGGGGCAACTTTCGGGACACGCAACAGCCTATCAGAGTGCACAATGTGTTTGAAGTACGCCGCCGGCTCCTTGAGACTTTTCAGACCGGAGCTGCGTATGTGAACAACTTAATGTTTCAGTCCTGGACGTTGTTCACTGTTGCTGAATTGGTCAATGAGCCAATTGGCAAACTCGCACTCAAAATACGCACAGCACTCAATGAGCAGGTTACAGAGGGCCAGATCCGAGGCCTTTTGCGAATCATGCGACACTCATTGGACAACGTAAAGAGGCCCCCTTTAGTGCTCCGATCGACGAGTACAATGGTCACTTTCACGAACTGGACAAAGTGTGACTTCTACAATATTGTCGACTTTAGCCCAGCCATTGTCAAATCTGGCGTCCCATCAGATACCCGGCCTGGACGTCCGGTCTACTATCACGCCTCACCCATTCGTCCACCGATCGCGATGCGCAATTTGTACAACATTGCAGGCCAAGACTGTACAGGCAATTACTGGCTTGTCGGAGTATTGCCGCCGCAAGCGTGGTCGAAGATCGAGGGAGAGCTAAGAAAAATGTAGTAGAGTTGGGCGGTGACCTAAGTAACAGTGCAATTGCGGCGTTGTTAGGGATAAATATAGAGATCTCGGGCCATAATATTACATCATCTTGCCAGCATTCGCGATCCTTCCATCAGCATCGTGGAGATATAGCTTAAAGAAACTTCCTCCTCGACTTAACCTCCATGATAACGCTCCTCTCAGCTCTCAGCTTACCAATTCGACGCAAATGAGAGCTAGATCATTCGCGCGACTTCATGATTGACTTGCCCACCTTTCTCTCGGAAATCGCACGCAAGATCTCGCGGCCCACTGCGATCCACACTGGAGTCTCCACCTCAGATGCCACTTACGCTTCTCGCGTGCATCTCACGTAAGATTACACCTGTCCAACGGTTCCAATTATGCGCCTCATCAACGTCAAAACACTCAAGTTGGAGACCTTCGTCGATGACAAGATCCCCTCATACGCCATATTGTCGCACACATGGGGAGACGCCAAAGAAGAGGTGTCTTTTCAGGACATAGAGGCGGGGAAGGTCGACGACTTTGGGAACGGCACGGACAAACTGAAGGGATGTTGCAAACAGGCGCAAGAAGACGGGCTCCGCTATGCATGGACTGATACATGCTGCATTGACAAGACCAACTCGGTGGAGCTCGGCGAGGCTATCAATTCTATGTTTAAGTGGTATAGGGGCGCCGCCTGCTGCTATGCCTACCTCGCAGATGTCCCTGCCGGGGACGACTGTCGCAATTCAGAGTCTAGGTTCTTCAGCAGCCGCTGGTTTCGACGAGGGTGGACCTTGCAAGAGCTTCTAGCGCCGGAAGAGGTCAGGTTCTACAACCAAGATTGGATTTCCATCGGTTCCAAAGGGGACATGTCTCACGAGATTGAGATCATTACGGATATACCCGGGGCTTTCCTATTGGGATGGAGAGATTTCCGCAACGCGAGTATCGCACAGCGTATGTCCTGGGCCGCGAAAAGGGAAACGACGAGAAGAGAGGATATCGCATATTGCCTTCTGGGTATATTCGACGTTATGATGCCGATGATATACGGCGAAGGCGACGGCGCTTTGATACGACTGCAGCAAGAGATTATGAGGAAGACCGGGGATCATTCTATTCTGTCGTGGGGTCTTGAGCTACCGAATCCTGCCCTAAGCAACTCGACCAGTGTCATTTCAGCGGGCATGCTGGCAAGTAAGCTATCGGACTTTGCACACTGCAGAAATATAGCCTCAAAAGGACACCAAGGCATTTCCACCAATACATTTGAGATCTCTGGTGGCTTTTTGCGGGCCGAGATTCCAATTCACGTTTCCTCGGCAGGCGAGACGTACGGACTGCTGAACTGCGGTCCAGAGGACGACCCAGATCAAGTCATTGGCATTCCACTCCATCCCGTAACAGGCATCAGACTCAACGAGCATATCAGACCTCAGGACCGATCTCCAATAATAGTTTCCAAGAGACAGACCAAAGCTGTCACCAAGACCATCCACCTCCAGATCGAGCGTCAAACTAAGGGGCGCGATAATACGAGTCGCCAGTATTGGCTACATCTAGCCGGGTATCAGAAGCTGAATCTGAGCCTGCAAGAAACGTATCCTCCACTCCAATGGGAGCAGCAGCGCGCATTAATTGCGGAAGCACGAGAAACAGACGCAACTAGCACATCGCAATATCTAGCTCGATTCCGCACCCGTGAAGAAAGTTCAGACGACATCGTGCTTGTGTTGAACTTTGAGGTACAGTCATTGCAGCCGCAGGCTCGCTGCCATGTCATGACTTTATCGAGAGATACAGCTTTGACAGATCTGTCGCAGAATCTCATCTACATGAGACCAGAAGCGTTTGGATGGCTAGGCGCCTCGCTGGATTCTCTCAATGTTAAGTTCACTGTCCAAGAGGAAAACATCGAAGATGAGCCGCTGTTCGTTATCAGGCTGGCACGGACTTCCAGCCCACCAAAATTGACGGTGAATGCGAACTTGGAACTCCAACAAGTTGCCTTGAAACTTGATTTCTTGAGCACACTGCTCGAGGAAGGTGAGACTGAATTGGAAGCAAATGGGTCAGCACAGGTCGGAAAAGGGGTGAAGACCCCTCTAGATGGAGCCAAGAGGCGCTTAGAGGCGGTGGAAGGGCAGTTGATCAAGCTGAACAAGCACGAGCGATTGCATGGTCCTGGAAACTGGCTCGAGACTATCATCAAAACACAGCTCGATGCAGGCAAGTTCAGCCTCGGATCGAAGAATATCTCTGACTCTGGATCTGCCTCCCAGGGCTCATCGAAAGCCGCCGATCGCGGGCAAGACAATAATTCACAGACACCGCTAGCGTGGGCCATGACAAATGGCCACGAGGCCGCAGTGAAGCTCCTACTTGAGAAAGCCGGCAACCTCGAGACCAAGGACGAGAACGGCGACACGTTGCTCATCAGTGCCGCAAGCAGCGGACACGAGGCCACAGTCAGGCTTCTCCACAGCCAAGGCGCCAACGCCGAGGCGAGAGACAAAGACAGCCAGACCGCGCTTCTAGTTGCCACACGCAGCGGGCACAAGGAGGTCATGAACATATTGCTTGAGAGAGGTGCCGAACTCGAGACGACGGATGAGAACGGCGACACACCACTGATATGCGCAGCACGTAACGGGGACGAGGACGTCGCGAAGATCCTGCTCAAACACGGAGCAAATCCTGAGGCGAAGGACCGGAAGGGCAGCACGCCACTGTTGTGTGCTGCGAACAATGGACACGACGCTATAGTAAAGACGCTTCTTGACATGGGCATGGACGTCGAAATGAGAGATAAGGAGGGAAGCACACCGCTCATCTGGGCTGCGTACAATGGGTATGAGACCGTCGTAAAGCTACTGCTGGCGCACGGTGCGGATATTGAGGCGAAGAATAAGTACGGCAACACACCGCTGCTGCAATCTGCATGCAAAGGGCATGAGGCGGTGACAAGGCTCCTGCTGAACTCAGGTGCTGATGTCAAGGCGAGAAATGGAAGTGGCAACACTCCGCTCCTCTTGGCCGCTGGGAATGGACATCAGGCTGTCATACGGCTGCTCATCGAGAAAAGAGCAAGTGTCAATGTCAAGAATAAGTATGGCGACACGCCACTGTCATTGGCTTCCAATGGGCACTATGCTGTGGTGAAGCAGCTGCGCGACAATGGAGCAAAGTCGGGATTGTTGGGCCGCATCTTGCGATGATAGCTCTCACGGTGCCGCCATCCAGTGAGCAGAGAGCTGTAACGAGAAACGTCAAGTTCCATAAATGAAGGATAAGAAAGTATATACATGATCCCAGATCGAAATGGAGAGCAATCCAGGGTACACCATGAACCATGCACTATGTACATTTACCCACCCCGATTCTTTTCAAGACTGCTAAGGGCATCTATTACAGTTGCATTAGAAAGTCAGAGTCTGGCCTGCGCTGGCAGTGACAGCACTCTTGACATTAGCCGAACCGAGCAGTGTGTACTCGTACGGCACGCTGGTCAGGGTGCCCTCGGGTGCGGTGTTGGTGGAGCCGCCAAGGTCCACATCGTTGACAACCGCAAAGCCATCTTCATCGCTGTCTGCGGTCTCGATCGCCTTTGTGCCAGAGCTCTCGAACACTGTGGACTCGATAAGCAGCTGGGCTCCCATTCGCGTGTTGATGCCAGTGCCCATCTCGGTGTAGAAGGAGCTAAGTTATGTTAGTGTCATATAGCCATACTGGGGTATCGAGACCACCTACTTGAAGATGTGGCCAGTGCCGAATCGGAACGAAGGTCCACGGCTGTTGATGTTGCTCCAGTGGTTGTTGGCGTAGGTGACGTGTAAGTGGCCGGTGTCCTCATCGCCGTTGCTGTCTGAGTGGCCGACAAGAGATGCTTTGAACTGTTTGCAAACGCCATTAACCAACCGTCCTTCTTCTCATCCAGAGAAGCTGTGACTTACGTGGTCATGGAAGAAAGTGTTCGAGATCGTGACATATTCACTAGCATGAGTTACATCGCAGAGACCATCATAGAAGTCTTTGTCATGATCCAAATCGCTCGAAAGATCGCAGTGGTCGACCCAGACATTTGACGAAGCTTGGATGCCAATAGCGTCGCCATTGTCCGCCTCGACCTTGCTGATCTTCATGTTGCGCACAATGACGTTGGAGACCTTGTTGATGTACAAGCCAACGCCGGTTAGAGCTAGAGGTCAGGAGGTTAGCTAATGACTCCATCAACTTTCTCTGCAAGAGGAGGACTGACAGCTGCCGGCAGCGCCAATAATGGACTTATTCGACGCGACTCTGACCTTGGTCGCCCCGGAGATGGCACCGCTTACAACAATGACCAAGTCGTCATCAGAAGTTGCCGCAGCAGTGAACTGCGCGAGCGTCGAAACGGTGGTAGTCGCGCCACCAGCGCCACCAGTGGTTCTGATAATAACATTAGCAACGCACATAAACAATCCATGGTTGTATGAAGCACCTACCCGCCGTTCTGGGTACCGAAACCAACATCACAAGCATCAGTGACTGTGGCTCGTTTCTGCATAGTCCGGCGGTGCGGCGCCGAACGATCCTGAAGGGTCGGGGTCGGCACAGCCGTCACGATGGAAGCCAGCATGGCCAGAGATGATGCAGCGGAGAACTTCATTTTAGAAAAGGGGTACAACGAGCGCAGCTCTTAGTGAATGAATAATAGTCAAGATAGTTGAAGAGATTGCAAATGAACAAGTGAAAAGAATGAACGAAAGAGCGGATGGTTGAAGTGCCAAAAGACTCAATTGAGGCCGTCATGTGGTGACATGAACCTCTTATATCGCCGTTCGAACCAGTGGGCCCTTTAGACGATGCCAAGCGCCGTTAAATCAATGCGGCGCGGCTGTCTGACCCTGCGGCGGTGTTCGAGCGTGGTGAGGAGATTGAAGGGAACGATGGGGTGGAGATGGCCAGTTTCTCCACCAAGGGGGATCGAAGCTCCTCAAGATCGGATGAGAAGACCCTCAAGCACTTACCCGGTAATGCGCTGGGCGTCGATCGAGAACACCAAAGGTGTTGCCGCCATCGTTTCTAGAAAAAGCTTGTATATCGCATAATCCACTCAGCAGTCGTCATCGGGCTTTAGACCGCGAACGGAGCGGACCAGCCGCCAAGGCGGAGGCGCCACTGGGACAATTTGTTTGGAACGGCATATGTGCAGACGGGAGTTGAGGTTCGGCCGAGAATGGCTAGGCTGATGTTGCGAATAAATTCAAAGTCAGGGGTTCGAGACGAGTTCACGGGGGGTGCTCATATGTGGGGAAGGGCATCGCAAATGGATAAATCCCCACAATCGGGTCCGCTGCCGAGCCGACGACCTGGTGAACCCTGCGACAATCAAGGGGTCCAACCTAGCGAGGATTGAAACGGGAGACCAAGTTACTGCTTTGGGAGAGCATGATCTTCGAATACAACTGTGTGGCTGACCGGTTCTTCCGGGGTGACGACCAGGCTGTTGTTTCCCAATGCGAAGCCCAATTCAGATCTCCTCATACGACATGTTATTCACTCTGCACCTCATGGCCGTCATCAGGTGGAATCATGCGACGCCGTAGAACGCCATTTCAGATGAACTAGGAGTGCCAAGGGCCTAGTCAAGTGCAACCGTTGTCGCGAATACACGCCATATCTCGGAATGCCTAACTACATGTGTATGTCCTTTGCCCTTCAAGGGAGCGTGTCTTACACAAAGCCGCAAAAGACAGTCACAAACAGGAAGCCCTAACCGAACTACATTTCATGAGGACCAATATCAGAACCCACCGACTTCCTCGACATCAGAACTAGTGACGGCGCTGCACGCCAACTTCATTCCACGCATTCCGAACAATCTTTGCAGCATCATCGCCAAATGTTTCCTGTGCAATGTCGACAGTGACGTCCGCGTATTGAAGGAATGTGCACTTCGGTGGGATGCGGCCCGAATTCATCGTCTTCCACCATACTTGGCCAGCCTTCTCCCAGCTGTATCCGCCGAACGCAACAGAGGCAAGGTAGAATGCCTTGTTCGGGATGCCAGAGTACAAATGGACACCTCCGTTGTCCTCAACGGTTATCTTGTAGTCCTTGAAGTTGTCGGGCTGCGGATCTTTGCCCTGTGAAGTGGTATCATCAGCATGTTGAGAAGACACGTTACAGGAGAAGGGAGCTTACAAAACGAGGGTCGTCGTATGCGGTTCCGGGCGCCTTCATGCTGCGGAGAGACACACCCTTGACGTCGGGAAGCAGACAACCTTCACCGATCAGCCAGTCAGCATTGGCGGCATCTTCATTCTCGACCTTCTGCTTGATCATGATGCCGAAGACATCGGAGATGTGCTCGTTCAGAGCCCCAGACTGTCCCTGGTAGTCCAATGGGCTCGTGTGTTCCGTGACAGCATGTGTCATCTCATGGCCAATGACATCAACGCACTTGGTGAAGTGGTACAAGAAGTCACCACCATCGCCAAAGACCATCTGCATCTTCTCCGGGTCCCAGACTGGACGATTGTTAGTGCTCTCAAATCTGCTATGGGTTGCGAATAGACTTACAGGCGTTTTCATAGTTGGTAGCGAAATGCACAGAGCTCACAACGTGCATGTTCTCATTGTCGATACTCTTCCAATTGAAGATGGACTCGTAGAAGTCCAGGACATGGCCGGTGTTGTCGTAGGCCTCGTTCACGTTCACATCGGTGACCGCTTTCTGCCCCTCAATACGAACCTGCTTGCCTGGGAGTGCATTCTCATTCTCGCTGTGGTTGGCGTCATAGACAGCACGGTAAAACGTGTCTGCGTCTGTTTGTTCTCCTGTCTGGCCTTCCTTGTGCTTGGGCTTACGCCTGAAGCTGAAGATCTTGCGGGCGCTGGATTCGGTCTTAGAGTCATCAGCGGAGCCACCGACGCCCTGGGTGGCCTGGTATGAAGAGTGAACCTTCTGGATGTGCTCAAGGTCGCGTTTGGCACAGGCTCTGGTCTTCTCGTCAACGTCTTTGTTGTCAACGATGTTCTTCAGGAGATAATCGGGGACGATGCTAGGGCGAAAGTTGACCTGACGACGCTGCCCACGTGGAGCAGTGAGGGCCGCAAGTCGCTGCTCTCGCTTCTGGATGATGCTCTGGTGGAAGTCTAGGGAGAATTGGGCGGTCTTCTTGTGGTGGTCATCGACCTGGGTGCTCTGGGAGATGGCATTGAGGAGGTAGGGCGGTACTATCGCGCAAATATGGGGTTCGCTGGAGGACGACATATTGGCGTGGGACGGACGGATTCGGACTAGGGGTGCGTGTGGAAGTCGAGATCGCAAGCCGCGAAGAAGCATGAAAATATCCGCTGAAGATACTGGAAATGATAATAGAGGGTGTTCAGGATTTCAGGTCAGAGAGGATAGGCTGAGAGTGAGAGGACTGGAGGAGTGGGATGCGTTCAGAGGGCACCACATTGTGAGGGGGCCGGCGAGAGAGAGAGAGAGGGTGCTTTATGTAGGTAGGTATCGTCATGCCTGTGGCATTCAGCTGGCAACGTCATGCGACCAAGGGGGAAGGCACGACCTGAGGCCTGTTGAAGACCAAAGCAGGCAAGCAACGAATCGAAAACAGGCAGGCACGAGGCACCTAAGCTCGATACGTAGCTGGGCCTTCAATGCAAGCCGTGGAAGGGGCGACGGAGATCTGGAGCAGGGGCTGAATTGGGTGTGCATCCGAAGCGTGGCAGTGATAACCTACCTCAAAGACCAGTACGCTACAGAACTCTACTCTACACGTCGATCGGACTGCTGAACCAAACCTGGAACCCATGCAGGTCTCAGTCACCCTCTCACGACTATCCATCCATTTGCATTCACGGGCATGTTGTACGGATAAGGATTCTAGGTAACACTGCCATACCTACTTAGGTGGCTACCTAGGCACATGCAGGTGGTGGTGAGGGGTATATGGGCCTGGATTGCCCTACAGAAGCAATGCGGCGGCTACGATTACCTGCATGCTTTCGGTGTTTTGGCTGGCTACCTTGCTAGGTTTTCGGGGAAATGTTTATGTACTCTAACTATGCCTTCATGAAGAGTGCGACTTCTCGATGCACTACAGACGCAGACGCAGACGCAGACGCAGAGTGATGAAGGTGGACGGCGCAGGTGACCTCGGTGAGCTCTGCGGCCTCCCATCTGGCGAGTTGACTCACTGGATGTCTACCATCTATCTGCCTGGTCTCAGTATATAGACCCAGGTAGAGACACAGACACGGCGGGCAAAAAGGCCAGCTGTGCCGCTGTGTTATCAAAGTGGCCAAAATGTCCTAGACAAGTCTCCAGCCAGGAAATCCAACAAGTAACAATTCCAATGCGTTCCTCTTCTGGCTCCTCTGGGTACCTCATGCGTCCTGTCGGGATCTGCCACGAGGATGCAGTAGCGTCGGCACACGCTCCTCCAAAGAAAGCTTGACGCAGCCATGCAGCAACATTAGCTATCTCTCCAGCGGTCGGAGTGTACCTACAGTACTATGTACATGTAGCAAGACCAGGTCGTTCGCTGGCGAATCCCAGAGGCCACGCAATGTGCGCCAATTTCCAGGTTTCAGCTGGCTCTTGGCACTGCAGCTTTCCTGGAATGAGCCCATGATGGCCTCGTCCTCCTCGCCGTTTGATGTCATCTCTGCCCGTCTGGCCCCGTCTGGTGTTTCATTCATTGCCCTTCCTGCTCATTGGCCCGGCATGCTCCAGTTCTTGCTTTCGCTTGCTCGGCTTGCTGCTTGCTGGGCATCGTTATCGATGCAGACGAAGTAAGGTGCTGACGGACTGATTCCCCACAATACAATCGAGCGTACTCTAGGAGCCATGCCGTCTCCGATGTCTTACCACATGCTGACAGGCGTCACATGGCTGAACACTCTTCAATTTCGAAAGTTAATTCAACCTCAATCTTCTTACATTATCTGACACTCCGGATTAGGCAACAAAAGCTCGTAATCATAGCCACCACGGGCGTTCCTGGATTGCCGTCCCGCCTGTCAGCCCTTCGTGCAATGCCGAAACGATCAAACCAAAGGCACGACATTCATCAAAGCGCAAGTGCAAAAGGGTATCGTTGGGCTGTGGCTGGGCCGAACTCCTACCCCTCACTACCATAATCGTGAAGTGCAGGATATTCACTCTAGTGGTGAGGAGAGGTCCTGTTTTCACTCTCTAGGTTTCTAACCTCCTTTCCGAGAGAGCCTCATAATGTCATGAGACTTGGTACAATAAGATATAATAGTTCACCGATAATGTAGTAAATAGTAGAGCGTTACAAATCTCAACCTCATGAAGCCGTGGTGTTTGCGTATAAGTATAGGTGGCAAATTGAACAAGAATTGGAAGAAAAAGAGTTACGTCTTGATCTTGTCTTCGCCAAGCCCACTTCTCCATGACTTCAGCGTTTCCACCCATTCTTTGCTAATCCCAACGTCGTTGATAGACCTTCCGTTATCAAGATCTGTCGCCTTAACCTCCAGCTCTAGATCCTCAACAGACCTGCAAGGTGACTCGCCGATCGTCCAGTAAACGTGCGCAAGCGATACCTTGATTGCAAAGACGACGAAGTGGTTTGAGCCGTTGAAGTACGAGACCCGTTCCGCCATTTCCAAAGCCTTCAGCCAGCACGACTTAGCTTCGTTCCAATCGCCCAGGGAGATTGACAGCCTGGCGGCCAGACACCACACGTATGTGAGGTCCGTCAGCATTCTCTGCGATGAAGTAGCGCTGTTGCTCTGGTTGTTGATACTGTCGGCCTTCGCTTTCAGAGTCTGGCGCAACTTGAGCAACTGCGTCAGAGCGACATCCAACGCCTTCTGGCCTAAGAGACAGGCAACTAGATCTAGCATTAGACTGACAGTGTCTTGACGGCTGTCGTTCCCGGCTGCCTCTCTTGTGGCTATAGCTGGGAACAGAAGCTTGCCAGCTGCTTCGTAACGGCCGGTCTCGATCATGATTTCCGCGAGTTGTTGGATCGTCCAGCCCTCGCCCAGTGAGCCGGCATATGTACTAGCATCTTCCATATCGGGGACAAGCAGTGACTTCAACACATCCTCCGCCTCACCCCATCGTTTCTTTGAAACATAGAACTCCGCCAAGGATCTGTCTCGGTATCGAATGACACCACGTTCCTGGAACGAAGGTGGCTCAAACGGCTTCCACGCCAGGAGATATTGAAGAGCTTCTTCTTCTCGGCCATCGACGATGAGACTATGAGCGAGAAGAACGAAGACACAGCCATGCATAGAATTTGCAAGATGGTTGGGATTTCTCAAATCCGGGTCCAATGCGTCAGGGTCTCCGCTGAGATCAGGTCTGTTTGTGACGAAAGCAGATAGTATCTCAATGCCCTTTTCAGCTTTTCCCAACTCAGGTAGAACCTTGCCCCGCCGTTCCGTTGTGAACGCAACCAGGAAGTCATAATCCGTCATTAGACCGACTTTGCCGCTGTCCTTGGATATCATCGGCAGTAGAGCCTCGGCAATGTTAACAAACTTCTCGCACCATTCCGTGTTGGCAAAATGGTAAGCCGAGCAGAGGAGACTGATTGCTGTTGCACTGATAGATGCTGCTTCTTGGGTTTCCCCAGCCTTGGTGATTTCCTTCAGACGTTCACAGCAGTGCTCAACCTGTGGGAGAAATTCGATGCTGTAGGACGTATTCCTAGAAGATGTTAGATTCTGACATAAAGAAGCCTAGATATATATCAAAGTCTCGCAACGTACCAGTCATCCAGACTTCCCCTAGGGTATGAATGGCTCAAAATGCGGAGTGCACAGTCATATGACGACCGGCGAAAGTCTTCATTTGCTCGCATCAGGCCGCAGAACTGAACAAGAGGATGCAATACAAAACCATTATTAGTTGTTCGTCCGACTAGTGAGAAAGATTGCAACACCTCCACAGCATCATCGAAGGCAATCTCATCTGAGACGAGATCGACGAGAGCTTGCGGAACACCGGATCTATCTGCGGAAAGCTGAATCGCCTCGCCATCTCGGCCATAAGACAACTGGGTGGACGTTCCGCGCTTCAGCAGTGAGTCTGGAATATAGGAGTAATTGTATTGACATAATAAGAGAAGTAGCTCTGCAACTGCTGGCAACTCCTCTTCTATTCGATTGAATGTGAGTTCCCAAGTGGCGAGGACAGTTTTCTGATATTTCGAAAGCTTGGATCGGTAGTCCAGAAGTGATTCGCGTCGGCTCTGGTAGAGTTCGAGGTAATGTTTGAATGACTTTTTGCGAGCTTGAATATAAGCTCCGGCTTGATCTATGGCGAGAGGCAGGTAACCAAGTTCTTGAACAATGGAGCTTATTGCAGTGGTCTCTTCGTCGTCGAGTCCTGGTTTCGGTGCAGCTCGTTTTAATAGAAGCTCTTGTGCCTCATCGTGCGAAAGCATTTCCATATGAAGAGCCAGTGTTACAATATCAGGATTATCCACTCTCCCGTCTCTACTAGTAATAAGCACATCACCGTGATCAGCAATTGGTAAGAGCGATCCGAGGTCCACTTCATCAACATCGTCGGCGTTGTCAAAAATGAGAAGCCACTTGGTATTATCAATTCGAGATAGCCACCTTCGAACAGATTCGATCTTATCTTTATCAGATGCAGCTTGCGCAAGTTGAAGGAGACTATGAATTCGGACAAAGTCATGGGCTGCCGAGCGTTCTGAGACCGAGTTGATAAAGAATACATGATCGTATTCCGCACGATGGCCAAAGGCAAATTTCAAAGCGGCTTGCGTTTTCCCGCTACCCCCAAGCCCATATATGGCGCACCGGCGTTGCCCTGGATTGCTTTCTGAGGCCCTTTTAAAATGTTCTTCGATTTCTTTCAGGAGAACCTTTCTCCCCACGAATGTGGTGGTAGGATGTTGAGGCACCTCGAAGTGCTTTTCCATGTTTGAGGCAGTATCACCGTACGATGGAGGAGGCATTACGGACTGCATGGCGTTGATGAGGTGAGAAAGAAGTTGGTTGTTGCGGTCCTGTAGGCTCGTTAACTTATCTTCGGACCTAATGCTTGATGTCTCGAGGCGTGCGAGGGTGGATTGAAGCACGTCAATTGTTTTACTAAAGAGGCCATTAGCTAACTGGTTTATCAAGATTCTGGTTCCGAGATGGCTCGGCTTGCCCGAACTACTCACGTTCCTTCAAGGGATAAGCTCAGTGTCAGAGTGGCCTTGTAATCACGGACGACCATCAGTAGCCTTTGAATGTATTCTCGATTGAAGGGATATTTGACTCTCTTGAATAGTCGTTTATACCTGGCTCCGGTCTTTATATTCAAGCCTTCATCGGCAGGCGTCACAGTCATTCCACATTCATCCAGAACTGCCAGAGCTTTTGCGAGATGGGCCTGGCAGCCAGCGATTGCTTTAGTGAGTGTCTGCAGATTACCATCTGCCTCCTTGACCTCATTTTCACTTCCTTCGGAGCTCTTGGCTTTGGCTTTGAAGGTCTCCTCGATGTTATGAATTGTCTCTGTCAGCATCTGAAGCTCCTCAATGAGGGCTTTAACCTCCGCCGGAGCCTCCTTGACCGTCATGGCATAATTGTTGAGTGCAGAGATGGTCTGGATGGCAAGAGACACGGCACTCGCTGCACTAACTGTGATGCTAAGTGGATCCATTATGGCGTCGTCAGGCCGCTGCAGTAGAGGCGAATCCGGAGCGGGGTGAGCGGAGCAAACACTACAGCACAAGGCAGATTAGTTGGCGATTTCGCGCCACGAGAACGCCCCGCGCGTGTCTACCAGCAAGTTTCTATCTAGGGTCGTTCCGACTAGTCATTTATTTGGCGTATTGGAAAATAGAAAACTGTATCCAATTGCGTGATTGAAGATACGGAGTCTTGCCTTTCGAATTGGATGAAGAAAAGTGTCGAGGCTCGCTCAACTCGAATGATCTGATCGGAGAGCCGACCGTATTGCCTTAAGTGTGTCTATTTATCTGCCTGCCTGCCTTAGAGCCTCGTCTAACCAACTGGGCGTGGATCATCTGTCCATACAGCCCTGGTCAGCCAATATGTGACCTGGTGCTGATGCTGGCCGGCGGCTACGCGAAGTCTCCTTAATAATGGATGTAATTATCATATACAACCCCTCCCAATACTACACTTCATAAGCTTCCCAACTTAGCTGCCTGCTTTTCCTAAGCCAGTGTACGTTTTTTAGACGCGCGGTTACACATTCTGCACTGACGAGATCAGGCAGGAGTCAAACTATTCTCTCTGTTAAAAAGTTCTCAACAATCGATTTGTGAAAAGCGACGACCGCAGGTCTTCAGATTGGTGTCAAGCTACATCACCTATTTAGAAAGCCATGTTCAGTAGAACCAAAGGTATTCAGTACAAGCAAACACTTGGCAAATGTCGCAACTCGACCAGAATCTCAATGACATTGCAGCCCGCATTTTCATCAAATGAAGTTGACCAGCCCACGAAACTCCTTTACGAAATCCTCATCAAATTCATCCACCCATGCCGGTTCTGTCGCTAATTTATGACTTGCCGATGATGCTCTACGTCGGTTGTCCTCGTCTTCAATTGGTGTGTCGGGTCCAACAACGCTCGTTGTGACTGGGCTTGTCTCGCCTTCTTTCCTAATCTCCAAGCAGTCCTCATCTGGCTGTAAACATGAAGCACAGGACTCCCGGTTGTCTACCCCAGCAAGCGGCTCTTCGTCACCCGAGAAGCAAAGATCTTCATGATTGTTCATTTGTTGTATGTCCACTCCTTCTCCTTCGTCGTTGGAGAACGATCCCGTCAAATCCAACAAGACAACTGCCTCGCGTATAGCTTTCTTCGCAGTGCTAGGACTCATTTGCTCGGAGTTTGGAATGCCTTGACTTGTATCCTGACTGGTTTGATTGCCAGTCATGGGATGGTTCTCGCTTCCAGTGTTGTCCATTATGTCAATATCTGCGAAATCCGTATCACCGAAGGGATCACTGCCATATTCTTCCGGATCAAACGATCCCTTCTCTGCGTCAGAGACATTGGCCCTAGCCTCCACTCTCATTTCGTTATTTTTTCGTGGTGTATTCTTGGAGTTGTCAAAGTTGATTGGAGGAAAGAGGTCATCATCGACATTGGATAGGTCGATACGGCAAATTTCTTGGACGTCAGTGCCGCCTTTTTTAGGATTCGATTGTTGTGTGCGTTTAGATGATATTGATGATGTCGATTTTCTAGATGATACGCTCTGCGTGCGACTTGTCTTGCGCTTCTTAATTGAATGTGAGCTGTGGCGACCTTGTATCGCGTCGCGATTGTGGCCCAATAGTGAAGCTCTCTCAACTGCATCCATTGTTTCATCGACCAGCACTTGACTCTTCCTTGACTGTCTTGGCGGTCGGTACTTCCTTGGTTTGTCAACGCCTTCACGACAACAACGGTGGGTACAAGGCTTTCCCAACTTGGTCAATCCTCCATTGCTACAAGCGTGGTTGCACCTCCATTTTCCGTTCGGAAGCTGGACTGCATCACGAGAAGGTTCTTCGTCATCTTCAGCTTTATCGTTTGACCTTATGATCGGAGCTTTGAGTTCTGGGGTGATCACTTCAAGAAAATCGTCAACGTCTGGAAATTCATCGTTGCCGTAATCTCCCTGTGTCACAGGTGTAGGTCGCTTCGGCTGCTTGTGGTTCAGTTGATCGACCGCTTCGAGCAAATCATCATCGTTCAGGCCATCATCGAATGATTGTAGTGAGTCGAATGCGTGATCTTTGGATTTATTGGTTACTGTTTCAGGAGATAATCGCTTATCCGGGAAGGCGGATCGTGGGAGTCCATGCTTCAAGGTTTTCGAGATAGTTGTGCCAACAATATCCTCACAGCTCAATTGCAAGAATATCTCATCCTCAAATCCCACCAACTCAACACGGAATGATAACTTTAGGCCATTCATCCCACTATTTTTAAGTTTCTTCATCGAGCCGCGCCAGAAATAATCAAGCATGCCGTTCGAGCTTTCCACAGTCAGAGTAACACAGTGGATTTTCTTCTGCCAAGCAGGCACACCACTGGTGTTCGAGTAACCCAATATCGCCTCGACGTCGACATTTGTGCCACTGCTGCCACTCCCAATACTCTTGCTCCGACCTGAGATGCGGGCCTCGAGAGTCAACTTGGGAAACTGGTCAAGAGCTTCCAACAACTTCTTGCCGTATGGAGGATTGCGACTCAAGAGTCGCTCGATATCGGTGTAGTCCTTTTCTGCGAGCTGATGGACTGTGAGGATGCCTCCAGTAAGAAGCTTGCGCATCGCGACGGGGCCAATGTTGGGAATCTGCTGAAGTTGCATTGGTCTGCCTTCCCAGAAGCCAGCTGCAACTGCTCTCACGAGATCAAGGGCAGTGCGGATACCCACAGCATCGCAGTCATATCCTTTACAATCAACAACACAACGAGCTAATCGTTGCAAGCGTTCAAATGCCAGGTTCTTTTCTGTTGCAATTTGCTTCCTCATCATGTTGTAGTCGTTAGCGGAGGGAATTTCTCCACCGCCAAGATGAATCTGGACGAGAAGAGAAATCTTGTGCGCTGTTGACGAAACAGTTTCCTTTATGGGGTACAGGATGAAAGGCGACTTATTGAACTCTCTATAAAGAGCTTTTTCGTTGGGTTTGAACCTCAGATCCTTAAATTCTTCCGCCTGACAAATCGCATTGAGCTTGGCCTGTTAGCAACTTGCTGTGTGCAACAATGAAAATGACCTACCAGGATTTCCATCTTTGCACCTCGACTAATCCGTACAAGCTCTTTCATCGTGTTGAATTGGACCATGTATCGAGCCATCGCCTTGCCATACTCGGTCGAGGAGAATGTAACACCTGGTGTGATCAAAGCTGCTTCTTGAAGCAACTTGATGTCCCTCGTGCAAATCTCCTCGAGTCTATCCTCAATGGTCTGTCCATCCTCCGAATCTTTGGTCAAACGGTAGTACGTGGGATTTTGCCGAAGACGCACGCTGAGAAATGTCCCATTGAGCCATGCTTTTGCCGATTGGATATCGTAGATCGTCTGGAGACCAATTTCGGAGTTCAAATGTTCGATGAGATTCAAGTGTAGCGTACTCTCGAGTACTTGTTGCCCCGATATCATTTTCTCATACCGCTCTTTGTTGTGACTTCTCGTGAGAACAATTGCCGTTGCTGAGCTGTCAAATTGAGGTCGCCCGGCTCTGCCTAGCATCTGCATGACCTCTAGGTCTGAATACTCCGATGGCTTGCCATTCTGATATCCGACGGTACCTTTCAACACCACAGTGTGACACGGCAGATTGACCCCGACTGCCAAAGTTGACGTGCAACATATTACATGCAGATCTCTCCGAAGGAAGGACTGCTCAACAGCAATGCGATCTTGTACATCAAGTCCGGCGTGATGAAATGCGACGCCATATCTGACGATTTCCTGTAAGTCTGGACTGATGACTGGTATCCTCTTCGACGGGGCTGGCCACTTTTTGTCGCACGCAGCAGAACTTGACCATAGCTCTGCCAATTTATGCGCTGTCGTCTCGCAGGATCTTCGTGTGAAGCAAAAGACGAGTACTGGCTTTTGCTCGGCATGCTTCGAAAGCGCGATTGGCAGCTTTTGGTCGAGATACCCATCAAAGACGAAGTCATTGCCATTGTGGTCGTAGCCGTAAATATGTTTTCGCAGCTTCACCGGTCGGAATTCTTCGCCAAATACTTCTCTCCGAGCAGGTAAGTGCGGATTGTCATCATCACGACCGAGCCAGGAGGCGATGTCGTCAGAATTGGGCACCGTGGCACTCAAAGCAATGAAACGAACTTTGGTGCCAATCGTCTTCATACGAGACACGACTGCTTCAAGGGTTGCACCGCGGATGTCCTTCAAGATATGGACTTCATCAATAAGAAACAGCGCGACCAGTCGCAAGAGCTTTCTGTGATCCGCCCATTTTCGTGTGACGGAATCCCACTTCTCAGGGGTAGTGACGATGATCGAAGCTTCGCCAACACGTTTCATCTCAGAAGCAGAAGTATCTCCTGTGAGCTCAGCGACCTTCAGGTTCATGTGACGGAATTTGATTTCCCAATCACGAGACCGCTCATTACAGAGAGCCTTTGTCGGTGCTTGATAGACAATCTTGTAACCATCATTGCCTTTGTCAGCTGCGAGTTTGCAGATACCCAATTCCAAAATTGCAGTTTTACCACTTCCAGTAGGTGCCGAAACTACCACGTTGTCATTCGATTGGTAGACGCTGGGAAAACATTTCGACTGGACCGCGTTGAGAAGATCGAATGGGAATACTGATAGGAATTTGTCGGGTAAGACTTCACGGGGGCTGATGAGTGGTATGCCGCTCGCTATCGGTGGAGCGTGTGCTAGTCCAAGGAGAGTTGAAGAGCTAGGCTTGCCATGTTGTTGTTGTTGTCGCTGTTGCTTTGTGTTTTGTGAAAGAGTTCGTCGACGGCTGACACTCTCTGCTGGACTTGATATAACACGGTCAGTAAAGAGATCATCATTTATCGTCTTGCGTTGTTCGTGGGAATAGTTTGCTGGCTTCTGGTCAGCAATTATCGAGGTGAATGTTTCCAAGTTCAAATACCTGAATGCAGGGGAGGTACGAGCTCTTGGTAATGTGAAGTCTGCTGT